GGACATTCGACATGCAAACAACACAATCTGTAGAACCATTAGGAAGGGACATGAAGGGACAGGGATTTCAAGTATTTTAAGCACAACATGTAGCAGCGAGATGCAACGAGCGCAGCTAATTACTCGTACTTGACCAACATAGAAGCTTTGAAGACAGTGCCACTCGCCACAATAGAGACAGAACATGACAGAACGCCATCATGAATCGAAACTGTGCAATTGTTCTTTGCCATGCAACCTTTGATGTCCTTTCAGCTGCACAAACCGTGAACAAAAGTGGGTACCCTGGCTGTTCGTCGCATGAGGGGCAACTGCAACTGATCAGGTCAATCCACAAATGTCTCCTCCGACGGGGGTATTGTTGCTAATCTTCAAGACCTCCAGAAGCTTGGAGCTACCCTTCGGGCAGACGACTTTGAGGAAGATGATGCCTCGGCCTACTGGGGTCAGACCAGGAGCAGTTGCGGGCTGCGGCATGCAGCGGCGCTGCCATTTGCTGCCTTTCTCTTTTCACAAGATATTATTGTGTTTTCTCGTTTCACCAAATCTGGCGCAGTTTTAAACTGCGCGAGATTTGGTGAACATTATCGCGATTATATATTCCATTTTGTTGGCCTGGTCAGGAGCGATGAAACCATGTCCCACCTGGGTGCTTTTGTGTCCGACCACAGCTTCGATGCCCGCATTTGTGGACTTTGGGAGGGGAAGACCAGTGAGACCTTGGGCGGCTACACGCAGCAAATCGAGTTCGAGATGGACTGCCGCAGTGCCAAGGTCACTGTGCTGGGCCAGAGCCTGGGTGAATTAAGTTGAAAGATTTGGAAGTTGATGACTGGGTGGTGCCAGAAAAGTGCCCCTTCTGGGTTGGTCTCATTTGGAAGGCGGTGGATCTTCCAAACTTAGCGCTAAAACAATTGACAGGAATTTCATGGGATTTCCATCCGACCAGGTTCTACCAGGTCCTACCACCCTCTTCCAGAAGGACCACATGATTCCACCCGCCAGGGCCCTGAGCCTTGGGCGAACAAAGACGCAGCTTAGGACGTTGAATGCTCGTTTCTCCATGAACTGCTCGGTGGAGCCCAAGCAGTTGAACATCCAAGTGATTCCCACCAGTGGCACGGTGCCACCCATGATCCCTTACATTTTCAAGCGCCTTTGGCACAAGATATGCAAACAGAATTGATGGAAAGGCCTATGGAGAACGCATATCAAAACATATATACAAATATAAATATTTATAATCAAATATATGCAATATATATATATATAGAGCATATCTTGCTGAAGTTCTCCAGAGAAAGCATCGAACAAGCAGCACGGGAGTTGTTCCGAACCACCAACGAAACGACATGACTGAGTGACTACTCTCAAGACAACGTCCACTACTTCGGCGCATGTTGTCTTTGCAGTGCAAAATGAGGTTTGCTGACGATGGCTCGCTTTATTTGTCCGGTCCGGCTGACAGCAGCATGCGCCGTGCTACCAGCTTCGGAGGCA